GACATGAACATTATTACTATGTACCTGGAAAGCATACGTGAAACCTTTAAAACTCCAGTCACCCTTTTGCACTTCACCATGGTTATCCTTCTTGCCCTTCTCATTTCTCCGCCTTGTTCCGGTTACCTTACTTTTCCCCTTCCCTCTTCCCTCTTCATTTTCAAAGCTTTTCACATACTTTGTTGGTGCAGAAAACAGACTGTCTTGGGTTTTGTCAAATGACACCGAACCCCATGGATACCTGTTGAACGCATCCAAGTCCTCTACAAGGGTCAGGTAATTTAGATTAATGTTCAAATGTTTGTCCCTTCCCAAAACCACTAACTCAGCAAAGTAAACAAGAGCTAGCTTGTAGATGTCATCTTCCTCTGTGCACCTCATAAATGCTTCTTCTAAAGCATTACATGTAATTCCTTCGTCTATAAAATATCTTTTCTGAAGTCTAATTTCATCACTTTCTCCACTGGAAACTTCAGGAACTTCCCCAAAACGAAGCCCTGAGATCAAACAGAAATCCTGACGAGTGAACTGAGCAACGTCGCACCCTATTAAGAAACTCAGTCCATCCAAGTCTTTCACACCCTGCCCCGCTACTCTACGCAACACAACCCCATGCACAATCTGCCCGCTAAACTGAATCTTATCTATATTCAGAAGATGGCCAAAGCATGATGTCTTGAATTGTTCTAATTGTTCGGCACTCAACTTCGCTCGAATTACAGCTAGGGCTGAATTTGCATGTGAGCAGTTGTTCACCCGTGAGGAATATGCCTCTGACTCTGGCCATACCAGCTCAACGTTGGATCCCATTTCCTGAAATACAAGATGAAATAACGTGAACACATATACTACCACGTATTTGCACAATCACATTGGTATTTACACAACTAGTCAACCAGCACATTACAAATTTTACAAAGTACATGCGCATAGGGATTACTGATCACAGGCTTTAACATCATCAAAGCAATATGACATATTTTGTGCAAATACCTGTTAATGCAATGATTCTGTGAATTACAAGCACTAGCATGTGTTTTATTTATGGATCCAAACTCCAATCAATGGTTGATGCATGAGTGAGTGTGAGTGCAATCTAGGCAAGTTCTGCACTTCACACACATGACAATTATTGTCATTTCATACACAACACAAAATAAATAAATAAATAA